AAAAAAAAATGTTAATGGCTTTATCAACACAATCATTTTAGGCGTTATTTAAGATGAAATAATCTTCTGGGAACATGCCTGCGATAAGATTGAAGGCTGTACAATTCATGAGGGAAAGAACCAATGGGCCAGAACATCCCTCTCTGTGTCTGTCCCATCGGGGGGGGTTGGGGAGGCTTCTCCAGCTCCTGCAGCTGTGTCCAGCTGTGCAGGATATGCCCTAGGGGGCAATGTCTATGTTGTAGTCAGCAGGGTGTATGGAAGAAGTGAACTCCACTATTTCACTGAGTTCACTTGTGGCACAGCCATTAGTGGAAGCACGGAGCATTGCACAGGTTACTGGTTGCCCAGAAGACCACTGGGGTTCATAGCCTCTGCTAAGTCACTAAGTCAGTTTTTCTAGCCCTTCTTGTGCAAGCTAGCTTGAAGCTATCCTTGGTATGTTCATGTTCTCCTCCCTCACCCCCACAGTTGTGGTGGAGCTAATCTAAGGTTACCAATCTGTGACAATGAGTCACAGATCTGACTCAACAATAACCTCTCTCTTACCTCACTTCACCAAAAACTTATCTCTTATCTCACTTCACCAAAATCCATCTTTTTCCTCTAAGAAAAATTAAAGTGAGAAACCAAACACCTTATTTTATTGCATTAATAGCTAACAATTGAGACACCTATTTGGGTAAATGTGTTGTAAACGTTCACTCAACATCTTTATTAAGATCTTTCTTGTTTGGCCTACTTTGATTTACAATACCAGCTGCTGCACCTTCATAATATCCCTATAAATTAGGAGAATATGGCTGGCCCAGTTTGTACGTGAGATACCAGCTAAGACCAGGGAATCCACTGGTTTCTGTTGGTGGAGGTGATGGGTTTCAATGTGTTCCTGAACACTAAGAAAGTGTGCTATGGTCCTGGACTGGAGAACCCCACAGAGCTCTGCTCAAGCATGGGACCTATTGCCCAGATGGTGATAACATTGCTGCAAAGCTGGTGAGCACAACTGCCCCAAAAGAACCCCCCTGTACCTTCCAGTGCATCTGTGTCTGTCTGGGAAACAGCTTTGGGTTAAATCTGCAGGTGTGAGTTCAAAAGAGGTCCAAGGTGATTAGATCCTCAGGTCTTGCTGAATTTCAGAGGAATCTGGATGCCAGGGTTTTCTGAAAACCACAGACAATGCAGGTGGTACTTCCTGACCAAATTTGATGTCATCCCTATGCATCACTAGTGCAGGTTTCATGACAGAGTTTGGGAGGTGTTGCTTCTTGGTAGCATTGGAAAATTAACCAGCTTTTCACTGTCTTAGAGGGTTAGTTGATCTCTTTAGATTTTGGTGTTTAACTGTTTGGTCTAGGACTTGTTATCATCCTCTGGGGAAATGTTTCTAAGAGTTTTCCTCAAGTCATCTATGAGAATTCAAACACACTTTCTTTGGTAGCATCCAATGATCAGCAGAGTTCCTTGGCACTTGGAAAACAAGATTTTTCGTTTTAAAGAGATTGGGAATTTAATGTCTAATCTCTTTAAAAACATGCTAATTTCTTAAACTATTCCCAGTCAATGAAATCAGTAAGAAAGGATGGGAAATGAATTTATTAATTTTTAAGGACGAGATAAAAGTTGTTGTTTTCAATTCTTGGCGTATGACAGAAATGTAAGTTGTACAAATTACAGCATCATATTTATTCAATCAGGATACACCCTGCTGAGTATTTGACTGTTCAATGTCCCTGAGTTAGGCTGTGAGCAGATTACCTCCAGACTGCTGGGAGACAAGGTCTTCTAGTGTGGAAAAAAAGCACATTTATGGCTACCAACGTGCAGAAAGCTGCATCAACAGCACGGGTGGTGACTGCACGGAGAAGGCCATACATCCCTTTTGTTTCTCTTGCCAAGATCCCTCAGAGGAGTGTCCTGAGACTATGGTTTATAACTATAGCGTGAAGTACTGCAACCAGTCCTGCCGCTCGCTGGATGAGCCTGACCCCCTGTGTGAAGTCCAGATGGCTCCTCTGGAGGGCTGTGGGTGCCCTGAAGGGACCTACCTCAACGATGGGGAGGAATGTGTAACTCCAGATGATTGTCCCTGCTACTACAAAGGGAAGATCGTTCAGCCTGGCAGCTCCTTCCAAGAGGACAAGCTGATGTGGTAAAGTGCTCTGCTGGTGGGAAGGCTGAGGGGTCTGGGGGAGGTTGGGGCTCACTAAGGGAGTCCCTGCTCTAATCCCTGAATTGTGTCACTGTCCTGTAAGGAAAACTGCCAAATCTTATGAGCCACAAGGATGATTCATGGGCTGGAGCACCTCTGCTCTGAGGATGGGCAGAGGGCACTGGGGTTGCTCAGCCTGGAGAAGAGAAGACTCTGGGGGGACCTTAGAGTGACCTTCCAATACCTGAAGGAACCTCCAGGAAGGCTGGAGAGGGACTTGGCACAAGAGTGTCCAGTGACAGGAGAAGGGGAAATGGTTTAAACTGGAGGAGAGCAGGTTTAGACTGGATCTGAGGAAGAAGTTCTTCAGTCTGAGGGTGGCCAGACTCTGGACTAGGTTGTCAGAGAGCTGTGGATGCCCCTCCCTGGAGGTGTTCAGGGCCAGGTTGGATTGTCCTTGAGCAACCTGGTCTAGTTGAGAGGTGTCCCTGCCCATGGCTGGAAGTTGGATGAGATGATCTCTGGGGTCCCTTCCAACCTCAGCCATTCTAGAACTCTACAAAATTTCTCCTAGTTTGTACCAAAGGAAACATTCCCCTGGCAGGAATATTCTCCTGGCACAGCCACAGCAAAGGTTAAGATCCTGTATTCCTGCTAGCAAACAAGAACCTGAAAATGGGATAAGTGATGTTTGCAGCCTGTCCCTACACACAGCTCATTGTTGTGCAGGAAATAGCCATGTACAGTGGGAGCAAGTTGTCTAGAAGACAAGGGGCCTGGGGAAGTTTGTGGCTTTCAAATGGAAAAGCAAAATAAAACACACCCTCCAACACACTACCCTGACTATTTAAAAAATAAAGATGGTTCAGGAAAAAAAAGCCAACAAATCTCAGGTTTTAATCTTTTATTTTTTTTTAAAAGAGAGAGAGACAGAGAGAAATTTGGGGGGAAATACTAAAAATACAATCATTAATTTGCATCTACAGTGTAAAAACAATTTCCATTAGAAATTTGGGGGGAAATACTAAAAATACAATCATTAATTTGCATCTACAGTGTAAAAACAATTTCCATTGTCTCATTTTTTAGCCATTTCAGAGCAGCAATACAAACAAATAGCAGGGGAAGGCTCTTTTATTCAATGTATTTGTATTTTTTAGATGTCTACATAGTCTCCTTCTCTCTTTCAACTCCCATAGGGTTTTTTTTCTGAGGATTCTAGACTGTTTTGTAAAACCAGATTAATTTAGTAATTTAAAAGGTCTCTTAAGAAAACGTTAGTCTTATCTCATGGGGTGTAAAATAGATGCTTAGGAAAAATTTGATTTAGGGAAAACAAAGTAAACAAGTGGTAGATAAAGGAAGAGTATTTAAGAGCTGGGTGTCTTAATCTTCCTTCTGGGGAGGGTAATTCATGCCTGTGAACCTGACAGCTGTAGCAAACATTCATTTGGGTAGGAGTTTGTTGTCTGTGTGACCAGTGAAGCTTTGCAGTGCCTTTCCCTGGTGAGGGAGGCATGTGCAAAGAGCTGATGTGTTTCATTTTATGGAATCTCTTTAGCAAATGCATTCAAGGAAGATTAGACTGCATTGGAGAGACTGTCCTGGTAAAAGGTGAGGTTTTGTTAACTAATGGCATTATGGTGTCAGTTGGTATTTCTGATGGTTTTTTTTCTGTGTTATTTCTCATTTTCTGTAGCATTTTAGTATTCTGCACAGTTTTGCCTTCTCCCTGCAATGTGCTGCTTAGTGATAATAGTTGTGTTGGTAAAAATCTCACTAAACTTGCTGAATTCATTAAAAGAATTAAGACATTTCCCAACACTTAGAAGTTTGTCTCCTCCCCACACCTCTGGTGGGCAGAAGCAAAGAAACTAAGAGAAATTTTAAACGAGAGACATAGGCTGTCCTCTGAAATTCTCCACTCTGTGCTGCAGTTGCTGAGGGCATCCTTGCTTTTGCTGAATTCCCCTCCTAAAATGTTTCCTCCCTCCTATAGATTGCCCAGCTCCTATGTATTACTTCAACTGCAGCTCTGCGGGTCCCGGGGCCATTGGATCAGAGTGTCAGAAGAGCTGCAAGACTCAGGACATGCACTGTGTAAGGATTTCACCTCCTAGCAGGAGCATGGAGCAACCTGACTGTGCATCCACATTTCATCCCTTCCTTAGAAACATAAACCTCTAGCTCCCAGCCAGAGGGACGACTGGTCTCCAGGCAGGGCACAGAAAATACCTTTTGCTTCCCAGAAAGGGAGATTCCACATTTCATCCCTTCCTTAGAAACACAAACCTCTAGCTCCCAGCCAGAGGGATGACTGGTCTCCAGGCTGGGCACAGAAAATATGTTTTGCTTCCCAGGAAGGGAGAGAAAGTCACCAAGTTCTGTGTCCTGGGCAGAAGGGTTGGGACAGAGCTCTGAATTCAGCCCAGGTTTTCAGCTTTCCTGAGCCCTGGTTACCAGTTAGAGCTCTAAAACTTGGCAGATCCTTAAAAAAATAAACAGTACCCCATTGTCTTCTCTTCCCTGAAAATGCTAAGAGTTGTGTTTAGGTCATTCACCTATAAGAAAGACACTGAGGGGCTGGAACATGGCCAGAGAAGGGCAACAAAGCTGCTGGGGAAGGGTCTAGAGCCCAAGTGTGGGGAGGAGCAGCTGAGGCAGCGGGGGGTGCTGAGCCTGGAGCAAAGGAGGCTCAGGGGAGACCTTCTGGCTCTGCACAGCTCCTGACAGGAGCCTGGAGCCAGGGGGGGGTCGGGCTCTGCTCCCAAGGAACAAGGGACAGGACAAGAGGGAACAGCCTCAAGTTGCACCAGGGGAGGTTGAGGTTGGGTATTAGAAAAAAATTCTCCACTGAAAGGGTTGTGAAGCCTTGTCCCAGGCTGCCCAGGGCAGTGATGGAGTCCCCATCCCTGGAGGGATTTAAAAGCCATGGAGAGGTGATGTAGCTGGGATACTTCTGGTTTGAGTATCACCAGTTTAAAGGATTTTTTTAAAATTCCCAGAGTTTGGCATCCAGACTGTGGCACCTCTTCTCCTGCCCTGTACTTTCTGTGCATTAACAAGTTGCCTTGTGCTGTGTCTTTATGCACCCAGTATGTCACAGAATGTGTTTCTGGCTGCATGTGTCCCGATGGGCTGGTGCTGGATGGCAGTGGAGGATGCATTCCCAAAGACCAATGTCCCTGTGTCCATGGAGGACACTTTTATAAACCTGGGGAAACCATCAAAGTGGACTGCAACACATGGTATGTTCCTCCAGGGGGACTGTGGAGGGTGTGAGAATTATCAGTGCACTGGGGCAGGATGTGTTTTGAAGCTTTCCTCTTCCTCACGACACCCATCAGGCTGTAGAAATAAAAAGGGCAACATTTCCCCTCTGCAACTTGCTACATGAGCCTGCACTTGAGGAGAGAACAAGAACCAAGATCTTCTTTCAAATGATTTCCAGCCTTCTCTACAAACTGCTTCCCCACCAGCTTTAGAGGTACCAGCCTTGTGCAGGCTGGTCTGTGGCTGGTCATTCTACGTGGGGCATTGAGTGTGTGTCTCTAGGGCAGTGCTGTACCCCAGGAAAGGGCTGAATTTAGGGGAAGGAGAAATCACCACGATCTTCCAGTGACTTACAGTGCTCCTGGGTGCATAGTTCTCAAGATAAAGAAACATTCTGCAGTTGCTGGTGTAACTCTGCCATAGACTTAACTGTTATTGCTGATCACGGTGTGCAAAATGCTTGGAATCCTTATGATTCCTAATTTAAATGATGCCAAATTTGGAGGAAATGATGCCAAGGACATTTGAAGGAAAAAGTAGAATAAAAATGGACAAAGTTCAAGCATGTCTTGGTAGTAAACACGAACTTTGTGATTAATAAGCCATCTCTTGGTCTCAAAACAGTTCAGCGGGTAAGCCTAGAAAAGCAAGAGAGGACTGATTTCTTTGGAGTACTGCAAAAGACAAACCTTTGATTTATTCTGTCCTGTCTGGGGTTGTGGAGAACCCACTCTTCACACAAAGATTGTGACTCTTTGCATTTTGCCCCCCAGCACCTGCAACCAGAGGCAGTGGAACTGCACAGACCATCCCTGCAAGGGAACCTGCACCGTGTATGGAAACGGGCACTACATGAGCTTTGATGGGGAGAAGTTTGATTTCCTGGGAGACTGTGACTATATCCTAGCTCAGGTATCAGGGTTTTTTTCACTTTCCTATCCATATGTTTTTTCCCAGCTCTCCTTGTAGAGCTCAGTCTGGGCAATTCAAGGGTTATCCCATGCAAAACTGGCAACGCTGCTGAGCAGAGCCTGCTCCCCTCCTCTCCAACCTAGAGCAGACACAGGCAGATTTTGGATGCAAAAGCAAAGCCATTAACTCTCAGAAGTGACACAAGAGGGCACTGTGTGATCCTTAAACGCTGGACAGCCCTTTCCGGAGGTGATTCCAGCATCTGCAAGGTGTGGTGGTGAGAAGCTGAGTCTTTCTCTCAGCCATCCAAGACTGACAGTATTTTGTTGTGATGGAAGAGTGTAGAGTTAACGTGAGAGCCTCCAGGATAATAATTGCATGTCGTGAGGCAGTAGTTGGTGAGACAGTTTGTCATCCCTGAATCATGCTTGGTTTTGCTGATTTTAAGGAAAAAATACTTTTAGCTTTTGGGCTGTGCAGGACTGGTGCTACAAAAAGCTCTTTTTTCCCCTTAACTCTTTGAAATTCCTGGTCAAGTATGAACCTGCCACCAAGTCATCTCCCATCAGATTCTTCTAAAATGTCCTAAAATATCTAAAAACATGACAAAATAGTGGAAGTCACATTGGAGGGTCATTCATTTAGAACTCCTGAAAATATTTAAGACTGATCTAGTTCCCTAAAAAGATCTAATACAACTTTATCTCTTCTCCTAAGGATTTTTGCCCCAATAACATGGATGCTGGCACCTTCCGAATTGTCATTCAGAACAATGCCTGTGGGAAGTCACTCTCCATCTGCTCCCTGAAGATCACACTGATTTTTGAGGTTTGTCTGGAACTGGTTATAGTCTTGATTTTGTAGCAGTTAGTGTGGTGCCTCCTTATGTCCCAACTCGGTTGCTGCTCGAGGGTACCTGTGGAAGCCAAATGGCCAGAAAGCAAAGGCAGGTGAGATGGGAAAGGTTTGGGTTTTTGGTGCTAAGAGGGTTGGACACTTCTGCAAGTGAAGGGATGGATGGAGAGAGTCTACAGCTCTCTCTGTGTGTGAATGTGTGTTTGCATCCGTGACACTGGTGATGTAGGAGTGATGGAGAAGTGTTTAGGGGTGCAGGTTTTTCTACCAAGCTTTGAGCACAGGGCAGAGGTAACTACAGAGGGAAGAGCTTCTTCTCCCCATCTTGGGCTTCACATTTCCCCCAAAAGTACACAAAGCAGCAGGGGGTGAGGGGATGGCAAACAAAGCAGCGTGACAAGGGGTGTTCCATCGTGCCCAACTGCCCCTGCACGCAGGAGCTGCTGTGCCAGCAGAAAAGATTTCATCTAGAAAGAGGACAATTTCTGTGGCCGTGAGGTAAGACTTGTCCTGCAAAGGCAGATGTTTCTTGGTACATCTCATCTGTGGCTCACATCTGGCCATGGACCAAGATGTAGTGTAAAGACAACAGAAAAAATAAGACAAAGGACAAGAGGCAGGGTGCCAGTGCTTCTGCACTAGGTGTTCTGCTTGATTTCCTCCCATGCAATGGATCTGTTCCTTGTAGAGCAGTGAAATCAGGCTCTTGGAAGGAAGAATTCAGGAGATAGCCACTGATCCCAGAGCTGAGAAGAATTACAAAGTGGATCTCAGAGGAGGTTATATTGTGATTGAAACAAATCAAGGGATGAACTTCATGTGGGACCAGAAGACTACTGTTGTTGTTCATGTGGCACCATCTTTCCAGGTAGGTATGGGATGGTCTGAGAGTTATGATTTCAAATTCAAAGTTATATCAGTATGAAATGCTCCAGAATATTTGGAGGCAGAAGTAAAGCCAGACACTTGGCAGTACTGGAGGGCTAAGAGAGTGATCCTGTCACTTGAAGTCCAGCTTTTCCCAAGCCATATTTTGATGGCTGTTTAGAAACCTGCAGCTATTTTGCTTTGGCCCAGTTCTATAGTTTATTTCTGACAAACATTGGGCTGCACTCAAAATAACCAAACCCCTCCTGTGCCTACACAAATCTCCCAGGGCAAAGTCTGTGGCCTTTGTGGGGACTTTGATGGCCGCTCGAGGAACGACTTCACAACCAGAGGGCAGTCCATGGAGATGAGCATCCAGGAGTTTGGAAACAGCTGGAAAATCACAAGCACTTGCTCAAACATCAACAGGACAGACCCGTGTGCTGATCAGCCTTTCAGGTCTGCCCTGGGCCAGAAGCACTGCAGCATCATCAAGAGTAGCATCTTTGAAGCCTGCCACAGCAAGGTAATCCTGTTCTCTCACCCTCAGCACTTTCACACTAGGTATTTTTTGTTGTTATGAAGAACATTTCCACAGTTTTTTTACTATTAAAGGTTATTACACAGCACTCTTGAGTTCAAGGGGTACCTCTCTCAAAACTTCACTTCACAGCTATGCCAGTTGAATCTTGTTGCCCATTGTTGAGGAAACATTGGTGCCTGTTTTGAGTAACTGAATACAAAGAGGGTAATAGTTGGCTACCAGAAGTAAAAATTTAGGTATCAGTTTGTCAGGTCTGAAGATAAGTTAGTGTAGGTCTGTTTGTATGGGGATCCTTAGGAAAGTTTATTCAAATTACCCAAAGACATTATTTGGTTTATTTCAACCATAAATTAATGCAAACAGAAACAAGGCTCCTAATTCTTGATGAGAATGTCTATACAAAGCTTCAGTGCAGTTTAATAACCCATTTTAAAAGCAAGCTTGGCTTAATTTCTTTGATTAGTTCATTTTGGCACAGGTTAGAACACAAGAGAAGTTCAGTGGAAATAGGATTGACTTTGTACTCACTTAATCACTCTCCATCAGAGAGTGCACATATTATATAGTTGTGCTGGGCCAAAGCAAGGGAGTTCAGTCCTGCAGAAATTACACTGTTAAGAAGAATTTCTTTACTGAAAGAGTGGTGAGACATTGGCCCAGGCTGCCCAGGGAGGTGCTGGAGTCCCCAGCCCTGGAGGGGTTCAAAAGATGTGTAGATGTGGCCCTTTGGGACAGGGTTTAATGGTCATGGGAGTGTTGCGCGATGGTTGGACTTGATGGTCTTAGAGTTCTTTTCCAACCTTAATGATTCTATGAATTTCTGGGAAGACATTTTGAGCATAAACACCAACACTACACAGATGGGAATGAGATGATGTAGAGTCCAGTTCTACCAGGCTGCTGAAGGTAGGCAACCACCAGTTTGGGACAGTCCCAGTGTGTCCCAGACTCAACCTGGTGCTGCCAGAGACACTGTCAGTGGCTGGCAGGAATTGGGAGCCCTTCCTGTGGCCAAAGCCCAGGGCAGGAGGTACACCTGGAGTGAGAGCCTGTGGGTGTTTTGGCAGGTGAACCCCATCCCCTACTACGAGTCGTGTATCTCTGACTTCTGTGGCTGTGACAGCGTGGGGGACTGTGAGTGCTTCTGTACCTCTGTTGCTGCTTACTCCAGGAGCTGCAGCAGGGCTGGTGTCTGTGTGGACTGGAGGACTCCTGCCATCTGCCGTGAGTACTGCCCCAAAAACGGGCTCAGAAAAGCTCTGCTCCACGTGCTGGGGCACGTGGCACGTGAAGAGCAGCAGAGTTCTGACATCACTGTGCCTTGCCTGACCTAACAAGCTCTGGTTGATTTAATAACCCCTGCCCAGTGTCTGAGACTTGGAGGTTTTCTTATTCTGTTCCAGCCGTGTTCTGTGATTATTACAACCCCCCTGACAAACATCAGTGGTTCTACAAACCCTGTGGAGCTCCTTGTCTAAAGACCTGCAGGAACCCCCAGGGGAAATGTGGGAACTTGCTGTACAGTTTAGAAGGTAAATCTTGCTCATCTTGGATGCAGTTTATGGGAATTATAGCTATTATTCTAGTTTGAAATGTCTTAAACATCAAGATTGCTGAGAGGCTGTGTCCCATTTACCCCAGAAACTCATTGACCATGCCTCTTCTGGTCTAATTCCCCATGTGATGGTGCCATTTGTAGCATAATTTGCTTGTTGCCTTTAAATCTGAGGGATAAAAGATGATTCAGTCTAAATTTGCAACGAATAATTATCTGTTGACAAACAGAGTTAATCAAAACTTTTGGAAGAGGGAAAAAGAATGTGGAAAAAATGATTGGTGCTGTAAAGAACATTCATACTGGGATCACATTTATTTGGGGATCAAATCTGCATCTGACAGAGGTGTTTGTGTTCTCCCTGGAGCTGTGCAAAGCAGACTAAGAATGTGGTGTTTGACTTTCCAGGCTGTTACCCAGAGTGCAGTCCTGACAAGCCATATTTTGATGAGGAAAGCAGGAAGTGTGTCTCCCTGGCCAACTGCACTTCATGGTAGGTTGGTTGATGAGGAGGTAGAAAGGGACAGGAGAGGACAAGCCAGGCAACGTTTGGTTTATATTCATAGGCAGCAGCAGTTGTCATGAAATGCTCCAGGAGTGGGCTTTTGTGTCAAAGTAGACACCACTGCAAACTGTGTTATTCCATGTACTGATTTAAGTCAATAAAACAAACCTTCTTCTCTATCTTCAGCAATCCTGAAGAGAAACTATGTGCTGAAGACTCCAAAGGTAACTTTCCACCACCCTCACCCTTCATGGAGTGATGGTAGGGCTGAAACCACCCAACATGTTGGCTTGTCAGCACATAGCTGGCTTGTCAGAGATGTGGGTTTGTGCCTAAAGGACACGCTTCCTCAAGGCATGGTATCAGTTCATTCCCAAATCTTGGAGAAACCACACCCCAAAATGCAGGGTGACCCAGCAGACAACACATCTCTGGGTTTGCTGATTTGGTTACAGTAATAGATGTATTCTCCTGAGTTCCTCAATGTACGTTCTCCACAACCCAAAGAGCTTCTCATACATTTAAATGAACATGAAATCGTGGGACGTTGCTCAGATTTGGGTGGAAATGACTGTGCAACACCTTCTGAGCCAGAGTGTTGTCGCTCAGTAGGGCAGCAATCCCAGTCATTCCCTGCCAAGAGGGAATACAACTGTGCTCCATGCTGGGTGCTGAGGACAGTGCCAGTTCTGATGCTTCCATCAGGCAGTAATTTCTCTGTGTGAGCTGATTCCAAGAAAAACCAAAAATCCAACCCTCTTTAAATGAATGAGGTAGTCTCCTCTCAAGTTTTGGGGTTCAAACTGGGTGTGCAACACCTTCTGAGCCAGAGTGTTGTCGCTCAGTAGGGCAGCAATCCCAGTCATTCCCTGCCAAGAGGGAATACAACTGTGCTCCATGCTGGGTGCTGAGGACAGTGCCAGTTCTGATGCTTCCATCAGGCAGTAATTTCTCTGTGTGAGCTGACTCCAAGAAAAACCAAAAAATCCAACCCTCTTTAAATGAATGAGGTAAACTCCTCTCAAGTACAAACTGGGAGAGTGTTGCAGCCAGGTCATTCATGTCTGATGATGCAACCTACTGAAGAACAAATCCAGAACCTGGTTTTCTTTTTGTTTGCATTTGTATGACAAGTGTCACCTGTTTCCATGGCATTTGCTCTTTTGGTGCCTCAGATTGCCTCTGCTGCTACAATGGAAAGACCTACACCTTAAATGAAACCATCTACAGCCAAGTGTCTGGGCCTGAGTGTGGTGATGCTCTCTGTGGCCCGGGTGGAGAGGTCATTAAAACTGTCATCCCTTGCAGAACTCCTCCCACAACAGCACAAGGTACTGGGTGCACAAGAGGTTTGGTGGGGTTTTTATGAAGATCTGTACTGGTAATGAGATTCCTCCACCTTGGAAGAAGACTCCTGCTGCATGTCTAGGATAAACACAGAATTTATGGCAGCTGAAGGTTCAGGACTGAGGGGTCAGAACTTGTGGGTGTCATGGGGGGCACCAAAAGTGTAAATTTTATAGATTCTTTCTGTCAATAGGGTAAAGAGAGAGCAGAGACATTGGGCCATTTTTGGTACAGCTTTCACACTAACCTTGGGCATACCACAGCTGACACTCTGGTGGTGTTGGTCTCAGTATTTCATATTTCTAAGCCTTTTTTTCTTCTTCTCATCACCTATATTGCACTATGGTTCTTCTTATAGTGTTTTCTTGATTGGAATAAGCCAGTCTCAACTGGGTCACTGGAGCAAGAGAATAAAGCTGCCTGATGGTTTACTCCCTTCCCTGAAGAGAAGTTGCAGGGTGAAGGGGAGTGAATGGACAGAAAAGTAGGAAGTTGAAATAAAGAAAAGGTGGAATTTTGCCACATAATTATAATAAAGAAAAATAAGTGGCTAAAAGAGTGTGTGTCATACGAAGGAGCCAGGGCAAATAAAAGTTAACTTCTCCACTCTACAAGTGGAGTCAGAAGTATAATGGAGTAACAGCTAGGAAAGGAAGAGCTACTGAAAGCAAGGTGTATGTGGCAGAGTGAAGTGTCTAAATGATCTGTCTGTACTTAAACCAACAGTTTCTTTGCAACAAGGCATTAAAAAGAAAAACGGAGTGCCACTGGAAGTCACCTCTCCAAAGCCAGGTGAAGTCCTGCAGGATGATAAAGTTCAAAGAAACCTTAAACTGGAATGAATAAGTGAGAGTAGAAGGGTGGTTTATTGGATTCTATATAGAAAAAAAAGGCTAACTACAAGGGGAAGTGTGTTTATTATTCTAGTAGCATGTAGTATAACAGAGATTGTGTATATATACAACAGAGAGGATGGGTTTAGTCTGTACGTGTACAGAACATGGTGGGGGTATAAAAATGATGAATTTTTCCTCTTTTTATGTGATCGTAGAGGATGCAACACATTCCATAGGGCTTGAAAGTACAGTGGCAGAGGATTTGAATATTAACTGTTCTCATTTCCTGCAGAAGCACATATGGAACCTGTAACAACATCTGCACCTCTGTCGTCAGCGGTGGCCACTCCCTGCTTCTGCAATGACAATGGACAATTGATAGCAAGGGGTGAGAAACCAAGCAAATATTTTTTCTGCACCTCTGATGTGGGAAAATATAGTTGAGATAAAGGTGTTTCAACAAGCGCTCATTCAGCCTGCTACAGTTACACCTTACAAGCTCTTAGATCTCTGAACCATGACCAGCACCTTCAGAACCACGACTTTCCCATATCCTATAGCTGTGTCCTGGTTTGGATAGCCCTGGTGTGAGGGAGCTTGTACTAGATGCTAACTTCAGTAGACTCCAGCACAAACCTTGAATCTCAAACTGCTGGACATAAGCTTGTAATCCACAGTCTCATTCCAAAAATAGAGAAGACTCTTCCTCATCTCTTGGTAGCTCCTGAGCCACCTATCTCCCAGTCTTTGTGAAGACCAGATGCACTCAGGGATGTTTTCAGTGTTCTCTTCTCTTGTGCTTATTTTCAACTCCCACTAATGTATGTAAGAGCAGAATTTCAGACCAGCTGCCTGTGGCCCTCCCTCACCTTTTGTCATCTGGATGAGCTGAGGTCCAGTTTGGTCACTGAATTCAAGACACAGTCCCCCCTGAACGTGGCCGTTGGGTACAGGCAGAACCAGCCAGCTAAATGCAAGGCTGAGAACGTGACCAGCCTGTGATGCACAGACCTGGAGAGTTCCCAGTTTCATGGGCAATCAGTGGTAACAGTTGGGTTTTGGCCTTGCAGGAGACAACATTTCTCTGCCAGTGAACATCTCTGGCCGTTGTGCCTACTCCCTTTGCAACGCATCGTGTCGTTTGGAGTTCGTTTGGGCAGAGTGTAAACCTGCTCAAGCTGAGGCCCTCAAGATCTGTGATCCAGACTCCAAAACCTGTCCACTAACACCTGCTCCCAGTCCAATAAGCCAAATTCCTGCTTCGACGAGGTCTCCTGGGGGTGATTGTTTGGGGCTCGTTCCTCCCAGAAAGGTAAGAGGCTTGAAAGGTGTGTTTCTTCAGCTAGAGCTGCAGCCAAGACTTGGTGTCCTCCTCTGATCCTAGCAACCACCACTATAGCTGGACTATAAGCTGAATTAGAGGATTTAGAAGTGTACCAGAATCCCCCAGATAATTAAGGGAAGAAGTTGGGCATTGTTCTGCTCACCTGAAACAACTACATGATTGTATGTGGGCAGAGCTGCCCAAGCTGAACAAAGGCTGGGAAACCACACTGGGCAGTGTTCCATCATCAGAAGTGCTCAGGACCTTAACACTGAGTCCTAGACAAAATATAGAACAGAAAGAGGTATCAAGAATCTGTTGCTTGGTATATTTTTCATATTTATTTCCAGAGAAAGAGTAGATAGTGAATAATGGCACGAGAGAAAATTAATTGGAGTTTAATTGCTGTGAATGATTTTAAAGATTTTGCTACTTTACTTTGTGTGCCTCTCTTTTTTTTTTAATCCATCACTAGTTTAATGAAACGTGGCACTTTGGAAACTGCCAGATGGCCACTTGCCTGGGAGAAGGAAACAGCATTAAACTGTCCAGTGTGACCTGTCCTCCTCAGCAACTGAAACTCTGTGCCAATGGTTTCCCATTCACCAAGCACCATGATGAGACTGGTTGCTGTGAAGTCTTCGAGTGTCAGTGTAAGTACAGGACAACTCCTGAAATCTATGTCAGGTTCAGCTGGACATCAAGGCAGGTGAGTCTACGTGGTCAACATCTTTATTATGTTCATGTTAATTCAGTAGGATGCAGTGGAGCAGAAGTCCCACCCAAAGCATTGGCTGTTTAGAGCAGATAAGAGTGTCCTTGCTAGGCTAATTTTTCTTCATCAAACTGGTTATTTCATGAAAAGTGTGTGAGTTAAAACCAGCTTGTGTTTACAGGAAGCTCAGAAGCCAGACCTGAAGCCTGTCACTGTCTTCCAGGTATTTGCAGTGGATGGGGAAATGAGCATTATGTGACTTTTGATGGAACATATTATAATTTTAAAGAAAACTGCACCTATGTCCTGGTGAAGTCAATTCATCCTGACTCTCACAGCTTCTGGATTCACATAGACAACTACTACTGTGCTGCCACGGAGGGGGCAATTTGTTCAATGTCTCTTCTCATTTTTCACTCCAACTCTGTTGTTATTCTGACACAAGCAAAGGAACGTGGAAAAGAAACTAACTTGGTAAAGTATTCGGTTAAAATAAATTCTCCATGTTATTTTTGCAGTGGTTATATTACTGTACTGCCAAATGTCCTGTCACGACAAAGGATGAAGCTTTTAAGGATGGAAGTGGGTAGTAAAAGAAATCTCTTGCTTTCTGTGTTGATAAAAAATTCTATATTCTAAAAACTTGGCAAGTGATGGCATAACTGAAAGTTGTTTTTTTCTTCCTGGCATGAATATTTGACTATAAATGACAGCCTGCTAAAAAGGATCATAGAGAAGTGCATAGATGACTTCATTTGGGGCCCCTGAGGTCTGAATTTGTGCTGCTCTACCCTGTACCTTACTCAGCAGAAGGATGTCCATAGAGACCTTTTGTTTCTCTTTATTTTTTAGGTTTTGTTTAATGATCAGAAAATTGTCCCAGACATTTCCAAGGACGGTATCTGGATAAGCAGCTCTGGTATTTATGTCATAGTTGAAATACCTGAGCTGGAAGTTTATATCTCCTACAGTCGACTTGCATTTTACATAAAACTCCCTTTTGGAAAGTTTTCTAACAGCACCATGGGGCTGTGTGGTGAGTATCTTCATCAGCTGACAGTAATATAGGCAATAAATTCTCCTCCTTTTTCTCTCTCATCCCATTGTTAACATTTCTAAGCGCTTCCAACTCCATTCATTTCTATTTCTCACAAATTTTAACATGTTTCTATTTAGTGGGCAGACACTGTCAGGAGGAAGAGTTTTAAATCATTTCCTTTCATTCTGCTCAGTCTGTTGGTGGAGACAGGCTCTTTCTAAGCCTTTCCTCTTGATCATATCTACTCCACATGGGCTGTATGAAATTTGGAGAGTCCCATGCTAGACAGACCTGTCTCGGTTGCTTTAGCCACTAGGAGAAATGCATCAGCCAAAACATCAACTCTGATTTTCATGAGTATTTGGCAAACCATTTGTTTTTGCCTTCTCTTCCTACTAACAGTTCTTGTGAACACATCTGGGATCCCACACGTTACCTTCCCACAAAGAGGAGAACTTCCCTCCAGGTTTTCTCTAAAAGCAGCTTCCTCAGCATCAACTTCTCCCAAACTGTCCTTTTGCATTTATTCTGCTGCCAGGTACCTGCACCAACCAGAAGTCTGATGATGCTATGAAGAGGAATGGTGAAGTTATTGAGTCCTTCAAAGAGATGGGATTAGATTGGGAAGCTGCAGATCCTACCAACAGATACTGTAAACCCAGTGTCCCAGAGCCAGCTGAGATGGAATTTCATCAGCACTGTGAGCCTTCCGACCTGTGCAAAATCATCTGGTAAGACAATTCCCAAAAGTGCCATAAAAATAACTCCTGAAGATGATTTTACACTTCACTACATGACTTGGGTGAGCTGCTTGTAGGACGTGATGAAAATAGGAAGTCTAGCACAGCTTGAAAAACGGAGCAGTGAACTGCTGTGTGAATGTTCCTGAATTTGGCAGTTATTTTTCAGCTGCATCATCAAAATCAGTCTTCCCTTCGTAGTGTCTGCTGCTTGGCACTCCCTCTGCCTTCAGCCCTGGAGGGGCTGCTCAGTACCTAGCTATAATTCAAGATCTGCAAGCTCTGGAGGAAAAAGAACGCAGCCAGGATATAGCAAGCAGATACAAGTGTTTGGTTTTAAAATAATTTTGGGCTTTGATACAGGAGTGCTGGCATAAAAGTGCCAGCAGATAGGATGATAGCTGTGAGCTGTGCATGAGAATTTCTTTGCAGGTATCAGTCCATCAGAAAACTTCCTTTCAAAGCATCATAAAGGATGGGAGGTAGAGCTCATTCTTGCTTCAGCTCTGTGGGTGCCTTGCCTGGCAGAGCAGCTCATGGCTGTATCTTGCCCTCGAGGCTTTCTCTGGGTGGGGATGGGTTCGGTCCAGTTGAACCCTTCCTTGGAAATCTCCCGTCTCCTTGCTTTGTGCAGGAACCTGACCGAGTGCCACGGCGTGGTGCCCCCCCAGCCCTACTACGAGGCTTGTGTGGAGAGTGGGTGCTCCCAGCAGCACCCTGGGGCCGAGTGCCAGAGCTTGCAGACCTACGGGGGTCTGTGTGGGCTCCACGGGGTCTGCGTGGACTGGAGGGGGCGAGCCAGCGGCCGCTGCGGTAAGCTGGGGGGGACCTGCTGGGGGGGCTCTTCTGGCCTCACCTGCACCCCTCTTTGTGTTCCTCCACATCAGCAGCTTCAATCTCTCCTGAGGTGCTCGGAGGAAAAGCAGGAAGAGGTCAAAGGGGTTGTTTCAGTCCAGGAGTGGTGCAAAATGAGTGGGAAATGTTTTTTTGGGGGTTGTTCAGGCTGGAGAAGAGAAGGTTCCAGGGAGACCTTCTTGCAGCCTTTCAGTGCTTAAAGGGGCCTCTCAGAAAGCTGGGGACAGAGTTTTTAGCAAGACATGTGACAGGACAAGGGGTGATGGTTTTAAACTAAAAGAGGGAGATTTAGACTAGATATAATGAAGACATTTTTTCCACTGAGGGTGGTGAGCCCCTGGCCCAGGCTGCCCAGAGATGTGGTCAATGCCCCATCCCTGGAAACCTTCCAGCTTAGCTTGACTGGGGCTCTGAGCACCCTGCTCTAGCTGCAGATGTCCTTGCTCCCTGCAGGAGGGTTGGATTCGACGACCTTGAGAGGTCCCTTCCCACCCAACCCATTCTAAGATAGTCTCTCCTGAGCAGCTCAGCTGAGGAGCCCTGGGTGTTGCTTAGAGCTTCAGCACTGGATGTCAAAACTCAGCTTCTCTCTGCGTGCTTTGCCCTGCCCGGGGGGCACCCAGTGCTTCAGAACCTCTAGTACTGCTACAAGCACGTTGCTGAATCCATCCATCCTCCTCCTGCTCAGCCTGCAGGGACCTCTTTGCTGGGCAGCAGCCTGGGCTTTGCAGACCTGTGGGGTGGGCTGTGGTTCATCTGATGAACATCAAAGGCTACACACGGGTCTGGGCTTTCTCACCTGGGTGTTGTCGTGCTCCACAGAGGCCAGCTGTCCTCAGGATCAAGTGTACAAGCCATGTGGGGAAGCAAAAAGAAACACTTGCTTCAGCAGGTGGGTCATTTCCTGGGACACTTCCCAAGTTCATCACTGGAAAACTGCCAAGGAAGGCTGGAAGTTCAGATCCTCCTGGGGTAGAGGTGATTGCTTGTCCTGGGGCACATTTCTGCCTCTCATTCATTCCCATTTGTGTTCTCATTGTGCAGAGAAGTCATCATGGGTACCCTCCCCTCCAAAAACAGCACACCAGTGTTTGTGGAGGGATGCTACTGTCCTGATGGCCAAACTCTGCTGAATGACCGTGATGGCATCTGTGTCTCTGTCTGTGGTAAGAACCAAGGGAAACGGTGGGGTGGGAAGTGGGGGGATAAGAGCCTGACTAGAAGCACACATTAAGGGGGATGTTCTGGGTGCAGAGGAAATGGGGGAGACCCTGATGCTGCCCTTTTGTAGTTAGGTTGGAAATGGTTCCATCTGCTTTGATGCAGAAAGTGCAGCTTCAAAAAGAGCAAAGAGCTTCTTCAAGATCCTCTGAGTACACAACCTGAGACTTCACACTCTGAATCTCTCTCTTTGTGGCTGTTCTTCAGATTTCAAGACTTTCTTTTTATTCCTGTCCTTTTGCTTCTGTTGTTTTCTTTGCTTGGGTTATCATTAAATGAATCTGTAATTAATTTTACAGGTTGCACTGCACAAGATGGGTCAGTGAAACAGGTAAGAAAAGGGAAAATCTTATATTGTAGCTTCACTATGTCTGGGTGCTGTGGGCTCCTGTAAAAAAAAGGCTGCATGAGTTTCTTCTTTTGATGCTAAGGTTTAAATACCAGTGACCTGCAATGACAGTGGGGAAGAAACCAGCAGATTTTATTAACTCCAAACCTTAATTAATCACTTGAAATATAGAAGCAGAAATAGGAGTTTGTGGGAATAACTCTTTCCTGTTAGAATTTCCAGGTTTCCCTTCTGGAACCACAGAAACCTGCAAAGGAAAGTGGTAGATTATAACATTTTTTTTCTTACTGTTCCCTTCTCCTCCCTCTGGGATTTGAACTCTGATTTTCTTACATAGTAAATTAAAGCAACCAAGCCCTACACTGTCTTGCAGCAGGCAGAAATAGGAGTTTGTGGGAATAACTCTTTCCTGTTAGAATTTCCAGGTTTCCCTTCTGGAACCACAGAAACCTGCAAAGGAAAGTGGTAGATTATAACTTTTTTTTCTTACTGTTCCCTTTTCCCTCTGGGATTTGAGATCTGATTTTCCTACATAATAAATTAAAGCAACCAAGCCCTACACTGTCTTGCAGCAGGCGTTCATGAATCTAAAGCTTCTAGTTTTTGCTCTCTGAACTACTATCTCTGTTGTTTCCACAGCCTAGAGAGGCTTTGGGGCACAACTGCCAGTACTGTGCTTGTGATGAAGCAACCTTGGAAGTCTCCTGCTTCCCCCGCCCTTGTCCTAAATCTCCACCCATCAACTGCACTAAAGAGGGCTTTGTAAGCAGAATAAAGCCACGTTTGGATGACCCGTGTTGCACAGAGACAGTGTGTGGTGAGTAGATAATTCAGGTGCCAGAATGAGGCATCATTTGCCTTTTGGAGCAAAGCTCAAGTGAGATCTGGTAGCCCATGGGTACCAGATTTTAATGGGTACACTGGAGTGGTCATTTCTTCCATCTGCCATGCGCTTTTGCTATCAGAAGAGACCTCCTCTGGTCCAGCTTATATTCTCTATTAGTGCTGTGAGCTGACAAATACATTAGAAAATCCCCCATGTATCATTTGGATCACGAGGTTCTTCACAGGATCCTCTGGCTCTGTTCCCATCTGAGATGAGAGGATGATGAGAGGGTGATCCTTGCACAGGGATCCATCCAGTAAGGCAGAATGTGCCCACTTTTTAGGCTCCCCTGAGGCCTCCTGTGGAGGTTCTTGATGTATGTTTGCCCTCACCTTTCCACTTGTATCCTCTCAGTCCCAAATGCCCACCACAGCACAGGATCTTCTCAGAAGGCTGCTCCTAGCCCTGGTCATTCCCAGCACCCACAGGACCATGCAGGACAGGAGGTCCTGGCAGTGTTGGTGGTCTGGCTTTTTGTCCCTCATCCCTTCATCCTGCCAGGCAGAGGTCCATTAAACTCCTTGGGTGCTTTGCCTTGCATGTCCCAACCTTTGCATCTTTGGCTCTCCTCTACTGAGAGAGACTACTCCTCATTTGTTTCACTCTCTGACTCATTGTTTCTCTGTCACTTCTCTGAGATGAGGGTGTTTAGTTTTTTTTGGACATGACATCCAGTGAGGAAAGAGAAGCAGGAAGAAGGGCCAGCAGTGTGTGTCCAGGGAGAACCTTTAGAGTAGACCAAGCTTAGAGATACTTCACCCAAACATGTCCCCAGACTCCAAAAATAAATGGTTCAATCATCTATTCCTATTATTAAATCATCAATTTATTGGATGTTCAAGTTTTGTCTGCAAGTAACACTGCTGGAAGGGATGCTTTGGGTTATTTTATCTCTGTTATTCATTGCAGAATGTGATATAAAAACCTGTATCATCAACAAAAGTGCGTGTGACTTGGGGTTCCAACCAGTGGTTGCTATATCTGAGGATGGTTGTTGTCCTATCTTCTCCTGTAGTAAGTGCCACCTTATTTTAATTTTATTTATTCATTGAACTATTTTTTTTCCCCCCAAATGAGTTAAAATCACAGCCAGCCCCCTCTGTCTCCTCCCAGCCTTTAAAATTGGTGCTTTTCTCTTTTTTTGGAGGTGGAGTAGCTGCTGCAGGTTCTCTGTAGCTAGGACTCAGTGAGTGTAAGTTACTGATCAGATATTGAATTTTGGATATATTGAAGCCCTCCAGAAGCTCTGTTGCCAAACTATGTTTCCAGATACCTGACTCAGCTTCCCATTGGCTCTGTTACCAGCAAGGTGGTTGACAATATAGAAAAACTCAACTAATTTGAAGTATGGGTAAACAAACATGAAGTACATTGATATTTCTATGTGGAGAATAACAAGATATAGAATTATGCCCCACTTCAAGCATAACATCTGAGCAGAGGTCACATGTGGGCTTCTGAATAACAATTAGCACCATCTACTAGTTACTTTTCCCCCCCATTTGTGGAGGTTATTAAGGCTAATTATTTAGCTCAGCTCTACTCTTTGTCTCCTCTAAATCACAGCTGGGAGGTGAATACAGAAGCTCTTTCCATCATTCCTACCACATCCTTTTCTTTTTTTCTTGCAGTACCAAAAGGTGTATGTGTTTCTGAAGGAGTTGAATTTAAGGTAGGTCTTCCAGACCCTTCTTTCCACAGGTTGATGCTGCCTGAGTCAGAATATTTTGAAGTAGTTATTGTCAACACTCACATAAAAAGCAGAATTTGAGTGACCCAAAATATTTCCCTGCTGGTAATTTTATGTACAGTTGGAAATGCTACTGAACAAGTGAAACCAGAGACCAGTAGATTGCTTCCTAAATGAGATCCTACCTGTGTCTTAGAGCATGGAAATCAGAATTATGATCAAACACAGTTTTTAAATCTCATTGGAGGCCGTAAGATTAATTACTAGTTCAAAATGAATGAAAATCAATGGATGAAGTTTATGAGAGGATGTAATAACTCATTCCATGTGATTGATGCACGTGGGAGCGTCAGCTTTGTGTTCACTTTGTGATGCCAACAGTGTGAGGCTGCAGAAGTAGTTATTGTCAACACTCACATAAAAGGCAGAATTTGAGTGACCCAAAATATTTCCCTGCTGGTAATTTTATGTACAGTTGGAAATGCTACTGAACAGGTGATACCAGAGACCAGTAGCTTGCTTCCTAAGTGAGATCCTACCTGTGTCTTAGAGCATGGAAATCAGAATTATGATCAAACATAGTTTTTAAATCTAATTGGATGCCCTAAGATTAATTACTAGATCAAAGTGAATGAAAATCGATGGATGATGTTTATGAGAGGATGTAATAACTCATTTCATGTGATTGCACGTGGGAGCGTCAGTTTTGTGTTCACTTTGTGATGCCAACAGTGTGAGGCTGCAGAGAACTGGAGGATTTCATCTCAGGAAGTCCTTCAAAAGCTAAATCTCAAAGATAAACATTCCTTTTTGCTAGTGCAGGGCTTGTGGGTTTATTCCAGAGCCCACTGAATCCTTGCCATGACCTTTCTCCTCTCTCTGTATTTTCCAGCCAGGGGCAAGGGTGCCCAAAAGCTCTTGTGAGGACTGTGTGTGCACAGATGAGCAGGACACTGGGAGCCAGACCAACCGCATCCAGTGTGTCCCAGTGAAGTGCCAAACCACCTGCCCCCAGGTCAGTGCTGCACACCAGCCTCCCCTGCCTCCCAAACGCCTGCTGGGGGGATGAGCTGGGGAAAGAACTGGGCAGCAGAACTGCTTCCTCACTGAAAAACAGCAGGATATCTTCTTCTACTAGATTTTTTTTCCCTAGAGTCCTCTTCTGGGTGGTTATTTTGGCTGTAGTAAATTTAAGAGGTCACCCTTGGAAAGATGCCCTGAGAGAGAATGATTACAAATCTGCTCAAGAGAAGTCTGCTGAAAGACAACTTTTATGCCCTTCTGTTGGTGTTGCCCATTGTCAGCTCAAAAATTGAGATTATCAAGAAACTGCACAGTGGTTTTTGCTTCCAATCACTTCTCAGCACTCATGAGCTCAGGGTCTGCACACAAACCATTCAGGAGCAGAGTGATTTCTTCCCCATTCTTGGCCAGAAAATGCCAGATCCACCACCAACCCTAAAAATGAATAAGCCCATTATCCTTTATCCTGCAGCCAGACAAAACCACACCCACCAAGAGATACCTAAAACACAGAGGGGGAAATATCTGATACATGACCTTCACGTGTCTGGCAGCAGCAATTCTTGTGGATAATCATATCAGATGAAGCACTACTAGTAGATTGTGCAAATAACCATATGCTGAATCAATTTATCTGGCCTGACTTGCGTTTTAGCCTGAAGAATTGCCAATGGCAGGGTCTTCATGGCAACTGCAGTGCCCAGAAATCACTGTTCAATAAGGGGAAGAAATTGTCAGCTTTGATTCTCAGGCTTAAAGTGGCTCCAACAGGTTTCTAGACAAAACAGAAGTGAAACCAAAAGGATTGGCTCATGTCCTCTGCCATCTCCAAGTGGCTTAGATCCAAAGGTGCTTCATGAACAAGACATGAGGAACCAAGGCTAAACAGGAACCTCATCCCTGCAGGGTTTCCTCCATGTGGAAGAGGAGGGTCAGTGCTGCAGCCAGTGCCAGCAAGTGGCCTGTGTGGCAAGTTTTCCGTCTGGCAATGTGACCATTGAGGTAAGCTCTCCCTTCCTCTCACACGAGGCTGAATCATCAAAAAGTCCTCAGGATTTTTGGAACCAGAGTCATGCATTTTGAGCCTGGGAAGACTTGGAGGAGGTTTAGAAGTGTCTGTATTTTCCAAGTGGATGCAGATGTTCAGACAGCTGCTCTCTGCATCTCACAGGCACCTCTGTGTTGAAAATCAGGCAGCTCTGGTGGGAATGGAAGTTGTGTTAGTCCTCCACTCCCCTTCTTGACATGCAACAGGGGGAAAGAATTAGAGGGGGAAGATGACAATGGGTACTGCTGTTCTTGTGAGAGTAGACAGGCTGAGCCTCAGGGTGGCTCCTTGGGCTCCTCACAGCCTCCTACTCCAGTGAACAGAGAATGATGGACCAGGCCCTGTGCTGGTGATGGTCCATCATATGAAACCCACCATACTAAAACTGGACCAACCCGTCACTGCTGTCTGACATGTCATTGCTTCTCTGGTAGCTCTTGGGTTCTGCATCTTCTCCATCTCATCCTTTTTACTCCTTGGTAAGGTATCTTGCAAGCCAGCTTCTCCTGTGCCAACATACAACTCTTATGTCTCCAAGAGGAGGCTTTGCATTTATGTATGAAGGTTTTTCTCCTCTTTCACACATCTTTTACTTTGAAAGCCATGAAAATGGATTAAATCCTTTAAAAGAACTATTTGTCTTTTGAGTAGGCTGGTAGTGAGTGAGCTTGGGGCATGATTTGTAGGTGTAAGTTCCAGACATCTGCAGACTTTTGGAGAGATATGAACCACCCAGTCCCTCTGCCAGTTCATTGACTGTGTTACTTGTGCATTATTCTATTTTTATTGCTGTACTGTGTTGGTTGGAGGTTTTTTTTTCCCTGTTTTTATTCAGGTTGGGAAGAGTTATAAAGCTCCACACGATAACTGCACTCAGTACACGTGCACTGAGTCAGCAGGCCAGTTTTCCTTGACTACCAGAGTGAAGGTCTGCTTACCCTTTGAAGAATCAAACTGTGTCCCAGTAAGTATTTTAGAACCAGAGAAAGACTTTTGGAATGAGCCCTGCTGCTGGTCTGAGAACTTTCTGAGTACTGTGTTGAACGAGCCATTTCATTATTTCTTGGTCTTTCTGAGCTGATCATGCTTCTTTGAAAGAAATGATCTTTCCAACCCTGAATGGAGCATCCCATGGGAAGTAAACCAAAACTATTAGTAAACAACTCACACACTTTACTTGTTGTGAGATGAGTACTAGAGTTGGGAAGAGAAGAGTGTGGGGAGATGAAAAAGTGGGATATTTCCTCACTTGAGGAACACCAGGGTCACTCGAGCAAATGGTAACTCACCATGGACTCCTGGGGGAAGAGATGAACACGGTGTCTTCTGCTATGTGGTGCATCACTAGGCAAAGAAGTGGTGCATGAACTTCAACATGGTTGTGGACATCAACAGCCCTTGGCTTGAGTCAGCTTCAGGGCAGGTTCTGTGCTGGAGAGGTTCTTCAATTCCAGGAGCAGCTGGGTTGGGGGTTTTGTGTTGGCTTCAGTAGGACCTACATAACGTCAGGGACATGTTTCATCCTACCTGGCTTGGGAGAAGATACTGAGCTTTAAGAAAATTCACTCCTTCCTTGCTGGATTTTCTTCTGAGGAGTTTTAGACACAATTTGTAGACAAATAGGTCTGATGATGAATCTTTTTGGCTAGAGATGAGGGAATACTCCTGAATTCTCAGTGCTGCTACAGGCTGCCTGGCAATATGTGCATCTGACCTGCTCTGCTTGTGTTTGCTTTCAATACAGGGGACAGTGGATGTGACTTCAGATGGCTGCTGTAAGACATGTGAGTGCATTAAGTCACTGATTCCCTATCCCAGTACTCTTAGCTTCTGCCCTGCTTGTAGCCTTGTTTCTGCATGCACTGAGAGGCTGCAGTTTCCACAGACTGGAGGACAACTCTTCTGTACCTCACAGCTCAGGCTAAAACTCTGCCTCATTCTTCCTATAAGAACACTGAAATTCTTCAATCTTCATTTTTTCTTTTTTAAATAACTGAAATACTGTCAGTTTGGACCACGCTGCTGATAAGAAAATTTGTAGAAAATATGTATTCTTCCACTTGGAAATTGCATGGGGATAAAAGGGTCTTTTTTTCTGGAACACCCACCTAGAAATCATAGGTTGTTCTAGAGTAAAACATGTCATTTATAGTGATTTTTTTTAAATAAATCAAACCCTGTCCTTTAACTCTTGGTTCAACAGTATCTTTACATGAACCTCTACCTCATTTAAGCTAGTCCACAAATACAAAAGCTCTTTGACCAGCAGGAGGTTGCTTGGTTGAATTAGTGCCTCTTTGCACTCTCTCATTTGGATTTTTGGCCATGCATTTGACCAGTAAAAAGTTTTAGCAGGATGAGCTGCCCTTGGTTTCCTAGCAGAGACCTTTCAGAACATTTCCTCCCCATTCTGAAGCCATCTAACAGGAGTTTTGTCCTACACAGGCATTGACTTGCCCCACAAGTGCAAGCGCAACGTGAAGGAGCAGCATATTGTCCATGGCAACTGCAGGTCAGCAGCTCCAGTCCCAGTGCCCTTTTGTGAAGGGACATGCAGCACCTATTCTGTGTAAGTAGGAAACCTTTCTCTGTCCTCCACCACGTCTGATCTTCCTGGGTTCTTGTCACCCATGGGCTGCAGATCTTTGTCCCTTTGCTGTTGTTAAAAAAGCCCAGGTTGGGAGACTGGGTGTGCAGAACATCAGTCATGAGCAATGGGACTAGATGTCTTTAAGAGTGACAGGAGCACTTTATCCTGGTTAGGAAAATAGAATCATAGAATCCTTTATGTTGGAAGAGACCTTTAAGATCATCGAGTCCAACCATCAAGCCAACACTACTGAGTCTTCTGCTAAAAAAGAATCAGAATCTGTCAGGGTTAGAAGGGACCACAAGGATCCCCCAGTTCCAACCCCTCTGCCATGAGCAGGGACACCTCCCACTAGATCAGGCTGCCCAGAGCCTCCTCCAGCCTGGCCTTAAAGGCCCCCAGGGATGGGGCCTCAACCACCGCCCTGGGCAACCCATGCCAGGGTCTCACCACTCTCATGGGGAAGCACTTCTTCCTCACATCCAGCCTGAATCTGCCCACTGCCAGCTTTGCCCCATTCCCCCCAGTCCTGTCACTACCTGATAGCCTAAAAAGTCCCTCCCCAGCTTTCTTGTAGGCCCCCCTAAGATACTGGAAGGGCACAATAAGGTCCCTTTGAAAAGACATCAGCTAAATTTATTAACTGCCTGTTCTTAAACAGGTGCTTAGGTTGTTTTTGAACAGCTTTGGTGTTTACTAGAGGGTTTTTTTTCTGGTCTTTGGTCTCTGCATGGGTTGTCCCTTTCTAGACCTTCTGCATGGCTAGTGGTGTCCTGAGCAAAGATTGTTATGAATAAGAGGAAAAATAAACAGGAAATTTTGCTCCTCTGCTCCTTGGAAGTAGCTCCATTTGGAGCAACAAATACTGATCATTTTGGGAAGTCAACAGGCAGCAGACTGATGCACAAATCTTATTTCTGTAGGTATTCCTTTGAGGCCAGTGCAATGGAACACAAATGCATTTGCTGCCACGAAAAAAGGAGTCACGAAGTGAAGGTGGAACTGGTTTGCTCTGAGCATAAGAGAGTCCAGTTCACTTATGTGCATGTAGATGAATGTGGATGTGTGGAAACAAAATGCCCAAAGAGGAGAACATGAACATAAATCAAAGGCAATCTTTCAGCTCCCATTTAATGCTTCCCTAGCAAGTAGTTTAGAAAGCAGCTGAGAGCGACCTTCAAATGACCATATTTCTCTCCTGTGCTTCTTCCTTCTGGTATTATATGCAGTTATGGAATTGAGCTGAAGATTTTACTCTAAATGTTTGTAGAATAAACTGCATTTCAAAGAGGACTTGTTCTCCTGTGTGAGTGGTGCTGCTACCAGGGCGAGGTGGCTCATGTCTGTAATCCCATAGTGGTGTATAAACCAAGGTTGTTACAAGACACTCTAGAGACAGCTGATGACTTTCAACAGTCCTGCCTGCAGAAAGTGTGTGTTGTAAATACATGACCACACTCACCATTGTCCCTTAGAAGGGAAACAACAAACCCTCCCACATCTGTGGTCAGGTGGAGAGGCAGGGCTCAGCTCAGGGGCATATTTGTGGTCTCCCCATGGTCCTGAGCCCACTTTGGCTGTGACTGAGTCACACCCTGAAGGAAATCAAGGTGCTTTTTCCCTCTTGCACAGGGAGCACGACATCAGGAGTGCAAAATAATGCTTTGCATGCACACTACAAAATTACCACCTTTGCACCCTTATTTTGAGTCCTTAATGATGATTTTTATTAATTGCCAACATCAAACTCTGAGCTTGTGTTCAGGTGAGAGGCTGATGTTGGGTCTCACTGCTGGTTACACGACTACACTTTGTGCTATAAATCATTGACCCTCAGCAAACGTGTCCAGTGATACTGTGACAGGGCTCAGGATGGTCCAACACCTTCAGAGCACCACGACAAGCAGATGCTTCTGCTACTTGAGCAATTTGGTCTTTTGTGACCTGAAAGAGAACCGAGGGCTGTGACTTTCTCAGAGTGCAGTCCCTGCAGCCTGCTGTGTGGGGAATTGTTTTGAAGGGGACTCTTTTGAACTGACCAAATAGATTGGAAGTGCACTAACCTTTAGCTTTCCATTTTATATTTCTGTAGACATTGGGCCTCAACTTATCTTTAATTCTTTTTTTTTGTAATAAATCATCTCAGATGATGTCAGGTTATTTTCAGGTACTGTTTCATGATGATCACCAAAAATTGTGGGACTCCTTGACTTTGGATAGGCATAGGAGTGGAATGGTGGATGTTTTTCTCTGCTTTCTCCAGAGATTCCCATGCTTACTGGGTCACCACTGTGATGCTATTAGCCAGCCCACGTTATGCCTCTGCAATATTCAGCAAGGATTGTTTTAACTAACCTGTTCTCCAGCCCCCTTCTGGAATGATTTGTCTCAGCCCAAGACTGGTGTGAGAAGCCTTGGGAAGTTTTCAGTTCCTCAGCACTGGGTGTTTTGAGAGCCTGGGTAAGTGGCTTAGCTGAAGTCAGAGGAGGTGAATTCCATCCTCTGTTTTAGTTCTGTTTCCTTGTAAACAATAAAAGAGATGCTGGGGCTACCTAATGGTCACAGGGTGACAAGCTGCACTGCAGGTATCTTTGGGAAATATGGGCAACAAAACCCAAGAAGGTGTTGTGCTGGAGTAATGAATTATAGAATCACAGAATATCTGAAGGTGG